GGTGCCTCTTTTTGCGAGCTCAAAGGGGTTGGAGCTTCAGACCCTTTGCTTCAGACGGTCATAGTCTGCCTTTGCTGGTTAGTGCCACTGTGCCTTCTCTGCTGGTCTGCAAATCATGGAATCAGGCAAAGTTGCGGCTGGGGCTTGTCCTTGTTTGAAGATTAAGGTTGTTCTGTCGTCCTTGCATTTACCATTCATGCGATCATGCGAGTATCGAAGCGTCTTGTGGAGTCTTGTGCATCATGTTAGTGCAGCACGGAACGGAATGGTCATGGATCACTCCGACCCACTCCAACCCATAGCTTTGATGCATAAAATGCTTTTGTCGTTGTAATTCAACCTGAGGCCATCGCTCGTAGGTTGGAGGCCATCGCTTGTAGGTTGGAGTAGTAGGTTGGAGGCCATCGCCATCGCTCCTTTCTTTTTTTCGGTTGCCCATGGTCTGTGGCCGTCGGGTGGCCGCTCCGCTCCAGGACCAATACGGCTTCTTCCATGTCACGCGTTCGCTCCCGGAACTTGGAAGGTGCCCTTCGGTGCTCGGCACGTTGGGACCGAAAGCGATTTCTGCGAACAGCCTCGGAACGGTTGGCTGATCTTGGAACCGTTTGGCGTTTGCGGTCGGACCTTTTGCTCGGGGTGCTCCTTTCTGTTTTACTGGGCTCTCACATGTGGTAATACCACCTTTTCCTGAGGGTGCATGTTGCCTTTGCTTGCATTTTCCCAAAGGTTTGGCTGTGCAAAGTGCAAACGTGTTGAACTCTCTGTTGCCGCAAGTGACAAGTTGATCTTTGAGCTAGTTTCAAGCACATTTTATCATTTTCTTGTAAGCTCCAAATATATATGTAGTAGCAACCATCAATCACTGCTATTTTCTTCTGATCTCACTACTGCGAAAGGAGACTCTCCAACCTCTCCACCTTCGGGATAAGCATCAAAAAGCATGAAAAAAAGCATGGAACACTTTGATTAGTATCAAAATTGCAAAGATTGTTTGGTTGACTGGTCCCCTGGTTCCCTTGATCCCAGCATCCATCAGCATCCCCCGGTTCCCCCTTATCCCTTGATCCTCCGGTTCCCTTGATCACCTGGTCCCTTGGTCCTTTGGTCGCTGTTTCCATTGCTCCTCGTCCCCAATGTCGCTGGTCCCCTTCGTTCCCTTCTTACTTTGGCGTTCTGGGATGCTTATGATGGATGTTCCATGGAGCAAGCGTAGGTGAACAGTGGACTGGAATCATGCGAAGGTTGAGTCAGGTCCCAGGCGACAAAGGGCAGACGTAAGGATAATAGGCTGTGCCCTCCCCCGAACTCCCTCCTGAACCACGCACATGCTATGCCTAGCTCCGGCTCTGCCACGAAACCTGCTGCTTTATATCAGCGGTTTTTGCGGGTTTGCTTGGTTTCCTGTGTGTCCTACGCTATGGTCTGCAGGGTGAAGGTATTATTTAGAACCATTGCAAATCCAGTTGTGGCCCCACTCCAGTGGAAAGTTTACAAGAGACCCCACACAGCCAGCCATTGTTGGCCATGTGAGGTTCAAATTTAAGGCAAGCATGAACCATCCCAAACCCAAACCTTACACGTCAAAGGGCCAACCAAGGGCAAAATTCAAAACAGGTCCAACCATAGTGTACACGCCCTCTTGTGAACTACCCTTTTGCAGCCCACCCCAGGGGAAAATGTTTGACAAACCTTATATATACCCTTTTCTAGGCCATTGAAGGGTAAAAATTCTGGTAGTGAGGAGTTTTCTGGCTCATGCACCCTTTTGTGGGGCAAGTGCGGGTTGAATTTCGATCAAGATGGAAGCCATTCTAACCTGTATGCGCCGGCGCATCAAGCAAGACGTTGTCAGACTTGACATTTGTTTTTCCGCCCCAGGGTGAAATTTCCAACAAACCTTACCCCCCTTTGTTGAGTGCTGTAAACGAAAAATCTTTTTGATCTCTATCAATTGTCCTTTCATGTTCTTTTTCATCTAAAGCACTTCTTTTTAGTTCTGTATATCAATCATTTTTGATCCCTGGCCCCCACCTTCAGCCTTCAAGTGAAACAAGTGGTACATGGGCGATTCCTCCATCTCCAGGCGTGCTGGCTGAGCTGGATCAAGAGGAGGCTCCCAGGAGGTCTCCGGATCTGGAGGCCGAACCGGACCGCCAGACACTCGGGAGCACGGCGAATGGTCTGACAGGCGAGTCCTTGGAGGTCTTAACGAACACCTGAGGAAGTTCTAGAATTTCTAGATGAATGTCAAAGATTTCAAGACCAGACATGCATGCAAAGGCTTGGGGCCTTGGTAGTCAAAAGCTGAAGTGTCTATCTTGAGGGCCACTAGCTCGTGCAGGAAGTGATTGCAGAACTCATGGCTCAAATGGTGCGGCAGCAGGACTTGTGTAGTCTTTGTGGGATGGTGCTAAGGCTAAGGAATGACTGGCAGACGATCAGTTGCATAGACCCAGCTGGTAGAGATCTGAGCTATGCTGGCCACATCTTCGCAGACGTTTCAGCGACCGACCGGACCCTCAAAATGGCCTGTATTTGTCGGTTGGATTGTTGATGAGTTTAGTTACTGTATGTTACTGTAGTTTGTACTTGTAATTGTAGTATTAGGATTGTGCCAAGTTATGGGACATGTTTCAGGTGATGGGTTGTCCTGGGCAGGACACGCCCCGGCGCAAAGGACCCTTCAGTAGAGGAGCGCCGACCGACTCCAATTGAAGGTGAATGGATACCATGGATACTTTTTTTTCTTTTTCGCAAGCTGTTAAAGGCATGCTTTCGGATTTTCGTGGATCCAATTGCAGCAATTTCCATGAACTTGCGCTGACTCGACTCTAGTCGTGGGTCAAGGAAGGGTGAGTCAGAGGCCTCAGAGGCCTCATGTCATGAGATGCCACCAATCGACTAAGACCATCGTGCTATGACGATGGTCTTGCTTGATGATTCACTTGTCACCTAGAACGACTTTCAACTGTGACGGCATTGATCAACGCTGAAGCGACTGAGTATTCGTAAGGATATCAGTTGAATGGGAGGTTGCTAAGATTAGAGTCTTCTTGGGTTTGACTTCGGTCGTAATCGGCTTTGAGTAAGCCCTAATTCAAGCGGTGAACGTTCCTCCTGCAAGTATCTACATTCCCATCGATAGAATTCCCTTGTGGCAGCTCAACTAAGCTGAAAGTTCAGACCATCGGACACTCCCTCAAGGGAGCTCTTTGTTCAAGACCAGAGTCCATTTCTGAGTCCAAACATGTCCAAATCCCATCAAATCCCTTCATTTCCAAAGGGTCCAAAGACCATCAAATGAGTTCAAATCCCATCAAATCCATACATTTTGTTTTGTTCAGATCCCTCATTTCTTCTACCTTTTTGGGTCCAAAGACCCGCGGTCCTTTTCTTTTTCTCCGCCAGATCTGATGAGCCCGATGGTCAGCGAGAGCGATTCTCCAGGAGAGCGATTCGCCTGAAGGGTCGGACCTGTTGGAAGAGAGCCAGGAAATCCTTCCAGGAAGGCCTTCCTTGGAAAGATTACTGATGGTTCAGCCTGATCATGTGCTGATCAGCATAGAAACCGTTGTGTATCCAAT